CACACACACACACACACACACACACACACACACACACACACACACACACACACACACACACACACACACAAAATCAAGCATGAAGAACAGCAGAATTTGCCACAGCTCACTCAACATTATGCAATAAATAATAAAAAATAACACACACAAACCATTGCCAGTAGCCATGAAGCGGCTACTGCACAGATCAGGGAGAGAGTCGAAATGACTCACCGTATCGCCACTCACACTGCTGTCGATGATTATGATAATTCGCTCACAGCAGCTTTGTGGAGCAGCATTAATCATTGCAGATCCACTTGCTCTGACTTTCTATATACTCCCCGTCATTCTCCTTCTCATCCCGTCTGACACACCACTCTGTCTCCCTGTCTTTGTGCTTATTTCTTTTCTTTTTTTGAAAAAAAAAAAAAACTTTCTCCCCAAGTCTGGGCTAATCACACACTTGAGGGAGGAAAGGGGGTTCTGTTGAATTTTAATATTCATTTATACAGCGAGCCTTTGATGTCCCCTCCCATCACCCCCACAGTGCAGTGTAAGCACTTCTCTATCTCGTGTTCTGCCAGCTCTGCCAGCCCAGAATATCTCCCTCAGCACCCTGAGCTGTGTGTGTGTGTATGTGTGTGTATGTGTGTGTAAATTACCCCAGAAACCCCAACGATGCAGCAAAATATGAGGGCACTGTGAGAACAAACTATGAAGGGAGGTAGGATGGATGGATGAAGGTGGAGTGTAAAGTGTCAAAGATGGCGTCAAGGGTCAGCTCGACCCAGAACAAAGTTTTTATGGTAAAACACACATAAGCACAGCTGGTTTAATCCCGGTGCATTGGTGTTAGGGTTTGTGTAATGAAGTGTGGAAACTGCAGCTCTGTGGGCTGTGTCTACARTAGTTTACAGTGACTGTCTATATTTAGCCTTCGATCCCCCTCCTGTGTACCCCTGAGTGACCCTCGCTCAGAGCTGCAGGCATTCCCTTATCTGAGCAGAGTTACATGCAGGGAGCGTGTGTGTTGCTGCTTTCACCTCAAGAGGAAATGCACCAGAAGAAGAGTTTGTTCAGCTTTTAAACAGGYTACAGTATGTAGTTGTGCAGGGGCACATTTGGTGACCTTCAGGGACCACTTCCTGCCGTGCAGCCATGGAGGACTTGGTGATCAGGTTGCCAGGGCGCTCCGACACCCCCGTGGGCGGCGCTGGCTCRGGCGCCGGCGGGTTTGGCGAGACGCTGGTGCTGCGGCACAAAGAGGTTCACCACTTCTTCTTTGTCCCCTTCAGGGAGCAGCCCATCTACAGCACGCGGGCCCACGTCTTCCAGATCGACCCCAACACCAAGAAGAACTGGCTGCCCGCCAGCAAGCACGCCGTCACCGTCTCCTACTTCTACGACAGCACGCGCAATGTCTACCGCATCATCAGCCTGGACGGCACCAAGGTGGGCTCAGGTCTAAACAATACCTCAAAGATGGTTTGAGCAGGATACGTTTCATGATTATTTTATCGAATGTAATCACCTCCCCACTGCTGTGATCTTTAAATGGTAAATGGACTGTGCTTCTATAGCACCTTTCTATCCAACCAGGATACTCAAAGTGCTTTACAACACAATCTGTGCCCTCATTTACTCATTCACTTACATTCACACAGCACTCTAAATCTCCACAAATCTAATCTACATAAATCCTTCTGTGGAGACTGGTCAGTGTTTTACATCAAATTCATACAATGATGAGACCCATCAGAGGCAGCGGTTCAGTATTTTACCTGACACTTTGACATAACTGAATAATGGAATTGAACCACAAACCCTTGCACTGGAAGATGACTTCCCTAACCACTCAGCCACAGCCTCCCCCTTTAATAAAGTCTGCACTGAAGTTGAACGTGCAGACACATGATAAAAGAGCTCCGACTCGTCCAAAGACGGCTCRTGTTGTATTGTCATCTTCATACAACATGATGCGTGTCCTTATTAAAGATCTCAGAGGGGCGTTCCTGGAGGGCTCGGTGTCATCGAGGAAACTGTATGACATGAGTGAAGGGAAGACTGAAGACTGGATTTAAATAAATAAATAAATAAATAAATAAATAAATAAATAAATAAATAAATAAATAAATGAGAAAGAAAAGAAAATAAGGAAAACAATGTGTGTGGCTGAAGGAAGAAGTAGTGTGCCACGAGAGAGTGTGGAAGTAGCAGTGTTACAGATGTGTGTGTGTGTGTCCTTGTTTTTCCTACATCGTGGGGCCCAGTTTTAAGGAAAATGCAGCCTCGTGGGGTCCGGGTGCTCCTTGTGGGGCCCAAAGCCTGGGCCCCACAACTTCAGAGGCTGATTTTGGGTGTGGGGGTTGGGTTTAGGACCAAGGTGTGAACTGAGTTTAGGTTAGTTTTTGGGTCAGGTAAAACCTGACCCACCTGTGAGGTTAGCCTTAGGGTTTGTGGTCAGGGTTATCTAAAAATCTGGCAACATTTTTAAAAATTTGAAAGTGAAAGAGAAAAATCACACCAATTTTTCACAGCATTTCAGAAAAAAACATTCTGTGGTTTTCTTCTACTTCCTTTGTGTTTCATTTGTTGAGCTCATTTGAGCATTTAAAAACATTTTATTTAGTGTTTTTTTGGTGTTTTATGAAATGTCATTATTTTAAAGTCACTTTTTGTTCATTGTTGTTTTGGTGATTTGTCTTTTTTCACGTTTTGCTGTTTTTCTTTTTAACTTATTTTTCTTTTTAAATTTTTTGGGCTTTTGGGTGTAATTAAATGTCTGTTTTTCCCATTTTTTTGTATTGCTGTTTTTTATTTTGGTTGTGTTTTTGTTGTTGTGCTCGTTGCTGTCTTCTCATAATGATGAATTGTAGAATGAACAGACTGACTCTCAGTCATCCTTTATTAAAGCTCGTGTAGCTACTGATACCAACAGGAAAATGTAATCCTCGACACAACTGTTCATTTAATCAYGCAGTAATGTGCTCTTTATTAGACTCATTTCTCAAAGTCAGATGAATTTTACGCGATTCGTAAGCTTAAGTCAAAGATTTATTCAAGTGTCTGTTTTTGTCTCAACATCAACCAAACCATTTTAGCACATTCAGCTCTCCACAACTCCAGCTAACACCTCCGTTTATTAAAGTTGTAAATTGTTACAGATATTTACTAATTAATCTGTTGGTGTTCATTAATTTTCATTAATTTTCTGTTGGATGTATAATAGGTGTTTTTCAAACAGCATATACTGAGATAGAGTTGTTGCTTCATGATTGTATTCTTACAGATAATAAACCAGATTTTTAAARGTACATCAAAAGATAATAAAAAGTTATTACATTATTGTCAAGCATTTGCTTTGTGAAAACCTTAAATCATCAGCTGAATATTCAAATGTTGATAATCTGCTGACAGACGAGWGAAAATCAAATTGCAGAACTGATTTAATCAGAGGTTTTAATCATTGCAGAAACACATTTGGATTTTTTATTATTTTCACCTTCAGCTCTGATTTTTGATCTGATCAGCGAGTCATCACATGCATTTTAACACCTCTCTCTTGCACACGCACTTTTTTGTATATGTGAATAAAGATCACTTCACACTCTTTAAACGAGCTGATTTCTCTTTTCTTGCAGGCAATAATCAACAGCACCATCAGTCCCAACATGACGTTCACAAAAACCTCGCAGAAGTTTGGCCAGTGGGCTGACAGTCGAGCGAACACCGTCTACGGGCTGGGATTCTCCACAGAGCACCACCTGGCCAAGGTAAACACAAAAGCTCCACTTTGAAACTATCCAAATCCCAGAGAGAGGTCAGCTCTCTTCCCTGCTGTTTTTGTCAAACGTTTCTCAGATCCTCTGTGTGCATAAAATTATGTTTCTATGTGTATATGACGTAATAATGTCTCATCTCACCTATAGAATTGGGTTAATTCAGTTATTTTCTGTTGATTACTGTAAATGACATTTGAATTCACAATGTGTAAAATCAGGGATTGTATTTCAACACATGCATTAAACTCCTTGAAATCACTCACTTTATATTGGAAATTTAAAAAACGGTTCTTTTTCTCTCATCCGTCTGAGCATTTCGATTAGTAATAGGCACTAACTTGTGGAAATGGTTGTGTAAGCTCCTGCGCACTATGAAAGTGTGAAAAAAAAAAACAGTGAGGAGGATAAAACAATCGTCTTTGTTTTAGTTTGCGCCTAGCCTAGTAAAAACCAGACCCTTGTCCTTCTCTTTGCTTTGTACAGAGGAGTGTGAAGGAGCAGTGAAGGGAAACTACAATTGAGCGCAGCTGCGTAGGAAGGCAAGGGCCAGGCTAGTTTGCGCCTGGTGCAAGTTAGAACAAACCTCAAAATTCTCCAGTTTCTGTATTTTTATTTTGAAGAGAGTGAAGAGTGTCTCTTAAACTTTATTACATTTTTAATTTATGTGAAACATAAAACATCAGCTTTTTATGTCGGCAATGACAGGGTTAATATGCAGTTTAACAAACTTTGGCTAAAGGTTTGAACAACCGGGTTGGCCTCTCAGATAACCGAACACTAATGAAGCACTTCGGCTGCATTTAGCAGAACTATTATATTGCAGTGAAGTGAAATGAAATTGAGTTACTTTTTGCATGCAGCTCCTCTAATGGCAGACACAAGACCGGCTCCTGAGGAGTCATCAATTAGATTTCCTCAGCTCTCAGCCCTCTGCAGCACTGTACTAAATTACTCTGTAGAACTGGGAGAGCAGCGTCAACCTCAGCCATCAGGAAACCGCGGGGCTGTGTGTGTTTATATTTGCTCAGAGCCTCTCAGCTGAGGTTACCACTTCAGGCTGACTGGATGTGCTTTGACTAAAATAACTCTGCAGATCAACTTCAGTCCCAGAAACCTCTGATTACAGGGAAGCACAATGTAAGAGTCAGACATTACTGTGAGGAAATGGTGATCAGTGGAGGCCGTGGTGGGTTTGTTGAAGTTATTGGGAATTTTAGATGTCCTGGTTTTTAACAGTGGTCTCCAGAAATCTTATGTGCGMAACKCAACCCACATGTTCAGCTCTACTGCTTGTCCTGTACAAATGCATGTTCCTTACAAATGTGGCCCCGCACTCATAAACAGATGTGTTTAATTTACTTAAACAAATGACGTCAWCTGGTTCCACTCAACTGAGTTGAGTAAATGTAAAGCAGTTTTTACATTAGATTAGATTAGATTAGATTAGATTAGATTAGATTAGATTAGATTAGATTAGATTAGATTAGATAGATAAAACTTTACTGATCCCTTTTGGGAGGGTTCCCTCATGGAAATTACGTACGTACATTACTTTACAAGTTGTGTGGAATCGGTTGACGTAATTTGTTTAAGTAAATCCAACACATCTGTTTTTTGAGTGCATTTAGAAGAAAAATAACAGGCTTTCCAACACTCAAAAAACAGATGTAGTGGATTTAATTTATAAAAATGTCAACTGGTTCCACTCAGCTGAAATAAATAAAGGTAACACATTTACTTTACATTTACTTAAATAAATGTGTAAATATTTTTTATTTAATACATGACATCTGTTTTTTTTTTGAGTGAATGGTACAGGATTTGTTGCCAAAAGCATTGTTACAACAAAGCTTTAATCTACCAAACACTAATTTTCTTACTTTTGGGTTGTTTTTTATTACTTTGAAGGAAAACATATTCATATTGATTCTTAAATTTCATTTACATATTTGTGCTTGAGATATTTAGAATATTCCTCCGACTAATGTGTGATCAAATCATTTTTATTGTAATTTAGTTGTTCTGAGGGATTATCTGGTTACACGCCTATAAGTGAGGTCATGTTCCCTGCTTCAATGATGTCATTTTCAGGAGGCTTGACTCAGTTCTGGACCCAGTAAAAGGTTCTGTGTTATGATGAGCRATGCAAACTGCCAATGGCCTCGCAGACAGTGTTTCTAAGAAATRAGATGGTGTTTTTAGAGCTGAAGAATACCTTTTTTAAACAGAGAACTGAACTTGGTTTTCTATGCTATTCAGAAATCCAATTTTTTGAAGACTTTCTTACAAGTTATTGATAAAAACGTCATTCCTGCACAGCTTACTGAAGCTCATCCTCTCCTAAATGTATATTTATAAAAGAAATATTATGCCCTAAACCTCCTTAGACCTGCATCCTAACAAGGACAATGGTTTTAGATTAGTCGTTTTTATTCAGGGGGACTAAATTTTATAAAAAAAAATTTATAAAATGCGTGTTTATGTTTAAATTCTTTTTTATGTTTACAAGGTTTTACTAAGCTTAAATACTGTAGCTCAAGAAAAATAATGAATAAAAAGAAAGAAAACTGGCCAAATGAACAGCTTTCCTGGCCCCCCCTTGTTGCCGCCCCTGACTGGCAGCAGTGTTTTCCCTCCTGCCTCCGTGCTGCACACTGCAGGSTTTAAACTCCACACTGATGTTCGTCTTCTTTCTCTCCAGTTTGCAGAGAAGTTTGCAGAGTACAAAGAAGCAGCACGGCTCGCTAAAGAGAAGAGTCAAGAGAAGATGGAGATGGCCACGTCTCCTTCTCAGGTAAATTCACTGCTGCGCCGTCACCGCTTCAAAAACGCCAACCTGTGCTGTGGTCAGAGGGTCACAGCTGGAACAACTAATAATGTAAAAAAATAATCCAGTGAAGGTGCCTCTCCAAATCATAAAAGTCTAAAGGAAGAGAGCGGTTTTTGGTCAAATGTAGCTTAGAGCAGTTTAAGTAGTCCCTACCCAATTATTGTGCCGCTGATTTAAAATATTTTTTATTTTACTGTTGTAGCTGCTTCAACTGTAGCTTTGATGTTTTACTTAAATCTAATCAACTTTTTGTGTCAAACTCTTCTTGTTGAAATCTGTCAAAAGAACTGGATCATAAAATGTGAGGAAGGAAGATGATAAAGATTTGCTACTCTGTTATAATTTATTACTTAACAACACTACAGGTTGTGTTTAAATGTTAAATAAGGTTACCTTTTTTTTACAAAAATCACCTGGTGAAACAAACAAAAAAATCTATAAAATACAAAATATTCAATCACATAAGTAAAAACCAAAATATGTTTTTATGCTTTGAGGTACTAGGATCTCTAAATTATACAAACAGTACTAAAAAAACAGTACAATGGGATGTCATCAGTGAAATCAGTGGAAGTCTGAATACTTACTTTGAAAGTTAGTTTTTTTAAAAACAATATTTCTRTGTGTAGATGCCACATGCATTTTTATGATAACTGCAGCGTAATGTATAGGTGTGATAATGATTGTAAATACCAGAAAAGCTGCACTACCTTAATGTATTACCATAAAGGATGGAAAAAAGGTGTGGGCATGTTTATTATCGATGCAATAATAAATAGAGGGCTAGCATTGCCAATTCAAYACTTGTCATGTTAATTGAATAATTATGTGATTTTGCCTTTAATTAGTCAATTRTGATGAAACACAGGACAAAATGTTAGACAAGTAAAAATGTTTTGTATTACCAAATTACAACTAAATAAAACAATGTAGCATTATAAAAAATAATGAAATAATTCCCCTGTTACATTCTATGACACAAGTTATTGTTTAAGAAAAAGGTAATTAGTGCAAAATATATAATATAATATATAATAYATATGGAAAATAAAGAAGCAATAATGTAACAAAATATAAATATAAGCATGTCATTATCAGCAAAAAMTATCTTGACTAACAATGAACTGCAAACAATTTGAAGACTTTGCACTGCTGATTTTTTTTTACTATTTGTGAAAATAAAGTCAGTAGGGAAAATAACGTGTAAACAAAATAATCGATACCATCGTGCTAGTTTTGATCCAATACCAGTACTCATCTTGGTATCAATAATATCAATACTGATATCGATAAGCCCTCCCCAAGTAAAAAAGCTGTACTATCAAAAATTAACAACTAAATGTGAGATAAAGTGTTCTATACATAAGCTGAATAACAATATTTATATAATAAAAACAGTTTGTACCATTTCAAATGAATAACCATAAAAAATAAATTACCCTAACATGTAGAATAGCTGTGCCTCCTAAAATGAATTACATTAATTGGGTGAAAGTTGCACTTCCTAAAACAAGCATACATACAGGAAAATAGGTGCAAGTAAAAAATCTATATAAATTTTAAAAAACGATAAATTCATTCTAATGAAACTTGACCAATCTGGGTCCAGATAAGACTTCATTTGGGTCCAGATCCAGACCAAAGTACCAAAGTCTGTCATTTGGGGGACCTCTCTACACACGAGTCTGAGAGTTTATTAACTTGTTTCAGGGAAGAATCTCTGGAGAAATCTGTTTTTTAATTTAAAGAACATTAGCAGTTCTCACATCCTCATCTGTTCAACACGGAGCGAGGGTGGGAAGCCCCCCCGTGCTGTACTGCAGGCTACATGCTTCCAATGCTGCAGCCCACAAGGACYGAAACAGCACCTTTCCGTGTGCACGATGTCTTCTTAATGAAGCAAGCAGGACAGCTTCGCTCCCCACCAGGAGCCGAAGGCTGCATGCGCCACACGACAAAACAGTGCTAACAGTGCTGAAAGTGGAGACAGGTCGTAACTGTGAAGGCTGCAGTGGTCCGCTGAAGCTGTCTGTTCTTCTCCATCACTGAAAGTCGCTGTTTCACCCACGTGCCAGCTGGCTTCATTTCTCCAAATCCTCTCCTCTGAATGAACCCAACAAATATGAGCGAAACTGTTCCACTAAAATAAGACCTAAAAGGCTTTACGTTGGTCCCAGGAGGCCAAACTCCAGCACCAACAYATAAATAATACACTAATGAATGTAGAGCACATAATGTAAAACCAGGCATAATCTTSCTCTTATCTTCCTTTTCCTTTTGGCCCATTAGAGACGTTGGGGCTGCGTCGTTGTGCTACTGTATTGTTCTCCGACCCGGAGTGCTAATAGCTTTGTTTTATGTGAGCGCAGCAGCTAAATGATTTGTCTCTCGTATAATTCCGTGCTTGTATGGGATATAAAGATAAGAATTAATCTGTAATTCCGTGATTTCCCAGTGCCAAAGCAAGCTAGTTTAATGGCCTATGGGAATGTGGAATTGCTCGCTAAGATGTAGAAATGTGTAGCACCGCATCACCACGAGCTTAGCTAGTGTCAGACTATCTGCACAGCTGCCATCGCTTCATGCAAATACTTTCASTCCGTCTCTCAGCTCGTGTATCAGAAGGATTCATTTACTTTTGCTACAGGAAAAAAGGTTTTATTGTTCATCAAGATTGTTCGGGTTAATTTTCATTTTCACATGCTGTGATGGTTGTACATGTTTTAGTTACATTTCACTCCTGCTAATCATTTTTAAATAACTATTTTAAAGTTTTAGGTTGTTGACCTGACAAAACTAGACTTAGAGATAGTGCAGATCTTTTAAAGTTAAAAAGGATAAAACTGGTAAATACGGGGCGCCAAGTGTAACATAAAATGTTAAAAATGTCACTAACACATTTTTATTATTTAGCTCACTTGAAATTTTCCACTAACATTTTATTTTTATTTAGCTCACTTTTCTTACATTTTGCAAATTTTTGCTAAATGCTAAATTTATATTTTAAATAATGTATGTAAATATTGTCACATACTGTAAATCTAAATGTAAAAAAAAATTATTTAAACTGTTGCAGCTAAATTACAATTAAAAAGCTTTTATTGTCATTACAGTATACACAGTATACATAATACAATGAGATATGAATAAAAACAATTAAAAACTACTGTACTAAAAGTCCTATAAAATTAAAACCATGAAAATATGAGTGATATGTGAAAGGATAAAGCTTATGTTTATATTTCCACAACCTTGTTTTCACTGCTTCTGTACCCCTAAAAGCACAATTGCGCACATTTTTCTGAGAATGTAGAGAAATGTAACCAACATTCCAACATTATGCAGAAAGAATGTAAAAGAAACTGTTGATTAAGTTCTTTAGTTTTATTTATATAAAAAAAATCCCTTCTCACCCTCCGCGGGTGGTCTCTTTCATCCTCTGAGCTGGGGTCCTCTACCAGAGGCCTGGG